AGACTTCGATAGTCTGAATAACGATTTGAATAATACATTATTATGTTAAATTATTTAAAAAAAATCTTTTTCTGTCCTCTATATGACGATAAATTACAACCGCGTCCTGGGTATGACGATAAACTATATCCGGCAACACTCCTCTCATCAGAATGGTTTCAGGAGCGTGGAAGCATCTCTTAATTTTCTGGTGTTCCCAGGTACACCCTGACCCGGAGCGGTAGCACCTATTAGGGTCCTAGCTCTATTTTTAATGGCGACAATATTTTTGGGTCAAAACTATAAAAGAGTAAAAATAGGTTTTAATACCAGCAATACAATTTGGGGAAAAATGATTACTAGCAATACATTTTGGGGTAAAAAATGTTACAGCAATAAAATATTGTCGCCGTTGAATAACCTATAGAGGTTGATATGCCGTTAAACAAACCAAACTGTTTTTTTCTTTATAGTTAAATAAATGTGTGCATTCCAGGGTGACTCACCTGTGCAAATTCTGGATCGTTGAGTTGCGTTCTCAGAGACCCACCTGCCTAATCGATAACTGTTCTTCTATTGAAGCCTGTCAGATTAAATTTACAACTTGAAGATTATGCTTGTAAGAACTGTGGTTTTGCTTGACGTTTAAACGTCATGAAATATATATTTACAGATAGAGGAAGTTGCATTGCTTTTTGCATTCGCCTACATATATTCATTTATGTTATATCATTCAAACTTGGTGGCTGAAATAGTTGCATACTTTCTGATGGGGTCAGTTGACAGTGATCGAGCCCAGTTTGTAAATACAAGCAGACCTTGCTCACAACATACTACACCCTTTACCGCGCTCTTTGTGATTCTGCCTTATTAAACTCATATATATTTGTGCATGTGTGTTGTGTGTGGCACAGCATGAATGATCACATAAGGAAGAGGATTCTATGTGAAATTACTATTAAAAAGATCTGTTTTTCAACTAATATATATATATATATATATATATATATATATATATATATATATATATTTATTTATTTAAGAATATGATTCAACACGCTACATAAGAGTTCTCATATTTCAAAACAAGAGCCGAAACCTTCAATATAATTATTTGAATAAATTGAATTAAAGTAAGCTCTGTTCCATCTTCAAGCGAAATTTTTTTTGGGAACCAAAAAAATTCAATTTTATTCAAATAATTTTATTGAAGGTTTCGGCTCTTTTTTTGAAACATGAGAACTATTATGTAGCGTGTTGGAATCATATTTTTAAACAAATAATTATATTTATGCTCTACTTTTGTGTCGAGCACTTTTTTAAAAAAATAATAACAAAAATACTAAAAAACTTTGGATTATTTACCTAACGAGTTCTTTCCTATTTTCTATATATTTTCACATATTATATATATATATATATATATATATATGTGTGTGTGTGTGTGTGTGTGTGTGTGTGTGTGTGTGTGTGTGTGTGTGTGTGTGTGTGTGTGTGTGATAAATATATAGTTTTAAGGTATACCATGTTTATGAGATAAAGTGCTCAACATCAGGGATACATCGTATGTAAACATGAACATTGAAGTCAACAGCCAGCGGTGACAATCTGTTTCATACTTAAACTCAATTGTCAGGCTATTTAATTGGTCAACTCAACAGAAATGATATGGGGAAAAGAAAAAGGGAAAAAGAAAAAAAAAGGTGGTGGGAGAAATAAAGAGAAAAGAGATGTACTTCGTCCGAAAACCCTAAGTACATCTCTTTTCTCTTTATTTCCCACTTTTTCTTTTTCCTTTTTTTTTACCCCTTTTCCTTTCCACTTATCATTTCCGTTAAGTTGACCAATTAAATAGGTCAATGTCTGATCCTCACCCCTTCCTCATATTAAGTATTATAATAAAAAGAAATATAAAAATAAACCTTAAAACTCTCCCTTCCCTCTCTAAAGTCGACCATGTCTCTCACATCATCCCTCGCTACCTTCTATGTCAACTTATATAAGCTTGATACTGCCCGTCAAACGTGTAAATTTTAATTTCATTTTTTCGTTTCACCTTTTGAAAGGGATGTCTGAAGATCCAGGGAAAAATAAAAGTCTGATGAAATAAATTATTACAATGGAGCCTTAAAAGTGGTCTGTTTTTCTTTAAATAATATATATATATATATATATATATATATATATATATATATATATATATATATATATATATATATGGGGTAGATTGTATTATTTCGCAAATATAAACAAAAAATCTGAAAAATCTGGGTATTTCTGAGAGGTAAGTTCTTTAAGGCAACCATTTCTTTAATTACAGCGCTTTATATAATGAAATAGAGATTTTATAATAATAAATAAAATTAAATGTCCATTCATCACTACTCTGAATTTTTTCTGGAATTACACCCACTCTTCAGGAGACTTCATTGTAATATTGGCTATATTTTCAGAAATTATATTTTGATATATTTACAATCAAGTGTTAGCGTAATTCATATTATACCGTAGAATTATTATGTTCATTTATTGTTCTTTTCTTCCAGTGGTGGAATAATGGATAGCGGCTCGGACTGAGGAATCGGAGAACCGAGTTCGAATTCCAGTCGAATCCATTACATTCCCTTACGTGCTAATATCCTTGGGAAAGATATGATCCTATTCTTCGCCGTCCAGCTATGGGTAAATAGCACGACAGACGGGTTTCTATAGGCTTGGATGGCAACAGTTCTAACGCAGAAAGAAATGGCAAGCTACCGCGGAAAAAAAACTGCCTCGAAAGATACATGATCGTATTAGCATGTATCACATGCTACATAACTGAATGTTTACCTGACACAATTAGGAAAGGCAGTAACGATTTATCGCCCGCTAAGTAAGTACCTTTTTTTTAAAGAAAGATTTGAATTAAATTTCCTACGGTATGTTTGGCTTTAGTGTGTGGCTATTGTAATGTGATATTAATTTTGTCATTGTTGTTTAAAATATCTAAAAATCTAGTGTGATGTTTAGGGCCCGGCGGAAGCAATTTATTTCAATGGTTTCGTATAAAAAATATAATGTTAAAAATTATTTGATTGTTTTGGGAAATTAAAAGATACTTGGCTTCCACCCGCTTACTCTACTTATATTTATATAATAAGTCGCTATTGCATTCGTAAGCGTACTTGTTAAACAATAGTTTGCGCTTTTTTCTTAAAAAATGGTGCTTACTTACCAAATATTTTGTCGAGCGACAGTATCTAGTCGAAATAAGCAGATAATTACCCAAACGTTTATAATATATAATATAAAGACGGATAGAAAGAACACGGAAGAACATAGGTGATTTTATTTTCTAAAAAAGAACATGTTAACAAAGTGTTGAAATGCTGCATTCCTTCTATCCGACCCTGAAAAAAAAGACCCAGTGGATGTTACAAAATGATTTCATTACTCACAGTTCAGCGCAAATTACAAGAGGCTGTAACTATTTAAGAGTGCTAGGGAACGTATTAACTGTTTACTAAAACCTCGTCTCCGTAAAGGCAGGACTCTGCTGATTGGTCCTTGAGGCTCATGTTACCTTTCAAGCGTGGATTATATTAATAAGAGAGGAGAAAGAATCTATTCTGACCGTGGTTTTTGTATTCATATGGGATTTAATACTAAATTCGTTTTGATCTTATTGTTATTAATCTGCAAACACAACAAACTTTCAGGAGATAGAGCTAAAGTACTAGCTGTCTACAAGTGGACTTAGATGATACATTTTCATTATGGATCGAGAGATCTTTGGCTATTACGAACAGTCCCAAGGGTTGAAGATCCTTGCAAGTGTCTGTTAACCCAAATTTTCTTCAGCTTCTTTGAAAGTTCTGTACTTATGGTACCCAAAGTACCAACAACAATGGAGATGACCTTTATTCTCTTCTTTGACCAAAATTTGTACTCTTGCCATTTGCAACTATCAGAGATTTCTTTTCTTTGTACACTTCTCTATCGTCTGTGAGACATAAACTGTCTATGGTGATGGATATTCATTCTTCTCTATTTGCCACAACAATGAATAGAAAAGTGTGTACTTGACATTTTAATACCTATATATTTTTATAAACTAATAATAATTTAGATCTTGGATATATTAATAACGGGGAAGCTCGTGCCGTGGCCCTAGACATCTCCAAAGCATTTGATACGGTTTGGCATGCCGGCCTTCTTCGCAAGCTCTAGGGTTATGGCATTACGGGTCGATTGTTTGACCTAATACAATCATTCTTGTCAAATCGTGAATTGAAGGTCGTTCTCAAGGGATTCTCCTCAAGTTCCTATCCCACGAACGCAGGTGTTCCTCAAGGCTCCATCCTAGGCCCCACTCTATTCCTTATCTACATAAATGACCTTCCTGACGCCATAAATTCCTAAGTTGGCACCTACGCGGATGACACCACAATTTATTCCTGCCTCAAAAACAACTCTAGTGTCAGTGACAAAAATAACCTGACCGTGCGTCTCGAAAAGGACCTCCAATCGATTGTGAACTGGTGCAGAAATTGGCTGGTCAACTTTAACGCTTCGAAGACAAAACTGCTCTCTAATAATTACCACAGAGATCCTTCCCTGCCCTCCATTAGAATGTCTGACGCTCAACTGCTCGAGAGCACCTCTCTGCGGCTGCTCGGTCTCACGTTGACTGCTGACCTGAGATGGAACAAATACATTGAGTCAATTGCTTCGTTCACAGCAAGGAAAGTTGGCTCCCTGTGCCGCGCCAGGAAATTTTTCTCCCCGGAATCGACCCTCCAGATCTACAAATCAACAATTCGCCCTTGCATGGAGTATTACTGCCAAATATGGTCTGGAGCCCCTTCTGTTTGCCTCGGGGTTCTTGATAGCCTCCAGAGGCGGATATGCAATATAATTGGCCCTGATCTCTTTTCTCATCTACAGACACTTTCTCACAGACGCGCCGTCGCCTCTCTCTGTCTGTTTTACAAATACTTTCATGGCAATTGCTCCGAGGAGCTGCATTCGCTGGTTCC